TTCGGGTATTTCACAATGCATTTTTTTCATTTTTCTTCTAGATTCACGTAGAAAACTCAATTTTGAGAGGGGTTTCTTCTTTGTGTTTTTCCAGAAAACATCATCTTGGTCCTCAAAAATTAATATTTTTCCGAAAAATCCTTTCTGCCAGGTTTTGCAAATTTTTAGTACAAATGTAGTTGGTACTATTCATTGACTTTTTTTTTTAAATCGTCACGACCGATCTGAAACTTCCGGAGGTCTTGTGGGTGTATTTAAGATTACATTTTCAATTTTGGCAATTTAAAAACCTCCCGAAGCCCTATTTCCAAAACTTGGGCAGTAGCTCGGATTATTTTTTTCCTCTTGATCTGATTTTTCTTGGGGGCATTCTGGGCATTTTAGAATGCATTTTTTATTTCTTTAATTTTTTTCCAGAAAAGTCCGTTTAGATGCCCATTTTTACTCTCAGTTGCAGTAGTAGTGGGTTGACGGCACTGTAGCTATCACGGCCTTCATCGGGCCACCGCGGCGTCGATTTTGTTTTTGACCTTTCTCCCTCATCCGGACTCCAAATCAAGTGAATTTTTTTTTTTAAATTGATTAATTTTCCATTGTCTTCCAAGTGGTGTACTCGATAGCACTTGAATCTATTTTTTTTGCAAAATAACCATTTTGCCCCTAGGTTCCTTTTTGTCCGCTTTTGAAACGACACTTCCGCATTTATTTTCCTTTGGGCTCCATGACCTCATTGAGGGTCACATTGGTGTCTTAGAGACGCATTCTATCTTTAGAGACCGTTATTTCACCTTTCGCTTTCGCATTTCGGATCCGTTATCGGGTCATCTTTTGGTCATCACTGACGCACCAGGTTTACAAAACTTGGGCCGTCACAAGTGGTATCAGAGCTCCTAGGTTTGAATACCTTGGACGACGGGTTTTGGGTGCATATCATGCTTGTGTTGCCATGCTCTATTTGTTTATATACTTTATGATAACATGTTTTGGTTTGATAACATGTTTATGTGCCTAGGTGGTATATGTAGTATATCGTTTGGTTAAAGCATGATTTTATTCTAGTATAAGAAGCATGACATATGATGTATTCTAGGTTAGATTTGTATATGCATATTGTTTTGCGTATTTGATAGGAGTTGGGATTAGTCACGGATGTTTACCTCGAGGTTGGGTTGTTTGGTGAGTTTGCACTTAGTGCAATATTTGGTGTGTTTTGGTTTTGTTTAGGCACTCTTCTTAGATGTTGTTAGCAATTTTCAGTTTGGTTTCATGGTAGTTTAGGTCGTTGTTGACCTAGCGTTGGCTTTGGATAGGTGGATGGTCACCTTTTGTTTAGGCTCTCGTGGGGTGAGCCATTAGGCGTAGCTGTAGTGCTGGATTTGTTGGTTTTGGACCATGATGAAGTTGTGGACCTTTTAGGATCCTTGATTGTTTAGGAAGATTCCTTTGAGATTGCAATTTTCGTGGGCGGGTACGTTTGTGGGCGGGTGCATGGCACTGTTATGCTACTGTGCTGGCTAGCTACAAGTGCAGTTTGGATGGAATCAGTGTTGGTTTTGTTTTGATAGGCATTGTCCTTTGATCAGTGATGATGATGGTTGTTTTGGGGATCAGTCGTGGTGATTGATTTAGTTGTTATTGGTATGGCTGTAGTTGCCATTTTCCTTGAGGAGTTCTTACATGACTAGGACATGCGGTCGCTAGACCAAGCAAGTATTTTCGGGTAATTACGACCCACAAGATACCACCTAGTGCGCACTTATGACTTAGAGGGTACTTGTCCACGTACTAGAGCCAAACCCTAGCCATCACATAAATTATGTCCTCACAAACTTTCCAAAATCAATAAGTTCAAAACTTATACAAAATTAAATGCAAGTTACTACATTCCATGCATAAATAAGGTTGAATCCACACAAACCATGTCCTAGAATTCAAGTCTAAATAACATATGACATGTCATGTCCTCAATATGCAATTTCTATATAAAGTAAGAATATTTTATAACAATTGAGCCACATTACCATCCTAAGCCACAAGTACTAAATAAGCTTCAATTTAGCAACAAGCTTTCAAGGTAAACAATTGTAATATTCTAACAAGCTATATACCTACACAAGATATATTTAAACAAGCTATTCAAGACAATGATATCACATATTATGCTAAGTCCAATTACCATTTTAAGATACCCCAAGTACTAATTCTACATCTAATTAGTAATATGCTCACAAGGTAATTTATTGCGCTACATTTCATAAGATTATCACCCTAACATGAAAAGTCTCTAGTTTTCAAATAAATTCCAATTAGGCTCAAATTAATATATGTAAAAGGACATAAGATGGTCTTCACATATATTCTATCCAAAATCAATTGAAGTGACTACAACACTTAAAATAAAATTAATTAAGCTAATTAATTAATTTTCTCTAGATTTTTAAACAACTCCAAATATGCTCAAAATTAACATATGTTAAAGAACTTACCAAGGCTTTCTTTAATATCACATTACAAGTTGATTTCATGTTTGATACAATTATGTGAATTAAACTTTCATAAAAGATAAATGTTAAAAAAAATTTGCAATTCTTATTCAAATGCTCCCAATTTAATATATGTTGATAATCATACTAATGCCTAATTTACTAGTATGTCACAATTTAATTCCAAGGTGCCTACCATAATGAGAATTAAATCTTAAACATAAAAAATAATTAAATTAAATTCTAGATCTTGACCAAAGGCATGCTCACAAGTTGTATGTGCTTCAATACAACATTAATATAAACTTAAGACACCCCCTACCTCAATTTGAGATGAAAATCTCAAAAGCCACCAAAATGAAATCGCTCCGAATCCGACGATACTTCGTGGTTTTATCGGGGACAACATGGTAAATATTAAACTCCAAAGAGGTTCTACCAAAATCCTAACTTGACCTTTAACCCGAACTCAAAATTCGGCCAAAAACAGGTTCTAATAAAGGGGAAAGATGCGCGTTGTCAAGATAAACACAAAACGCAAAGGCTTTATGACTTTATAACAAAGGAAAGGAGGTTTAATTGAGAGAAGAAGGGTGGCAGCCCCCCTTGGGCTGCTATGGCAGCTGCTGGTCGTGCATGAAGAGAGAATAAGGTCACTTTTTATTTTTATAACCCCTATTTATAGGGAAACCCTAAAAATGCCCCGAAAGGGCCCCGTTGGGTACGGAAAAATGGAATTTGAGCAGACGCGCTCAAATGACAAAACTCCGTAAACGAAAAAGAACCAAAATGAGAAAATATGAACAATGGAAGAAACGATGTCAAAAAATGAGTCCCGAGCAGAGAAATATATCCCGAACAAGTTCGGTGGTAACTAGGGTTAAAAACCCTGAAACTGGTGGAAAACAACCAGAAGGCAATTCTAAGAGTACACGACTTGACAAAAAATGAAAATGAATCCCGTACGAGGATCCAGGCTCAAAACGAGGCATTTTTGCAATAACTTTCATTAATTGCACAATGACGCTCCAAAAAGTGAAAGCTGCACTAATGGCCCAAAATGAAAATATCTTCCAAAAATATATTTTTTAAAACCCCTGAAATAAAATATCTCTAAATGATATTTATGAAAAATACCCCAAGAAACAAAAATGTTTCTGAAGAACTTTGTATCTATGCCCCTATGGACACCGGGAGCAATCAGAGTACTTTCCTACAAAAGTAAAGATACGTATTTCGTGGAAACCACTTAGGATGAAGTCAAAAACCAACTCCGAATACAAAAAGTGAGGTTGTGTCAAAAAGTGACAAATGGGGAAAAGACAAAATAGGGAAAAGGACGAAAAGTGAATAATGTCAAAAAACGAAAAATGTGAAAATGACTCGGTCTTTAAAGGAAGTTGTCAATCCAAAGGAAATAGTCTCAGAAATCATTTCTGAGCACTCGAGACGATACTAAATGACGAGAAACTGAACTAAGAAAAGAAATTTCAACGAAAAAAATTCATCCGTAAATTTTTGAGGAAAAAAGAAAAGAAGGAAATGACCGGTTCATTACACACTCTTTGCGAAAAAAAAAAAATTGTAAAAAGATTAATTTAATAATGAAAGGAAAAAATAAATTAATTTTTGGATGTACACATAAAAATACAAATAATTAAATTAGTAATACATGATTGTATAAACAAGCAATTTACAGAAGAATGAAGCTCTTTTCAATAGAAGAAAAATGAAGAGAGACAACCGACATGGGTATAATAAGAAAGTAATATATAAAGTGCACAACTTTTGTAGGAAAGTTAATTTTTGTGTGTTTTATGCAGTAAAAATTTTCAGATACAGGAATCCCATTTTTCCCAAAACTTTCACTTTTTCTCTAACCAAACTTCCTAAAAACTAAAATATTTTCCTTTTTTTTTTTTGTCTTTCAGAAAATTTTCCTTCCTCAAGTGAAATTCTTCATCTTTTCCTTTTAAAATTCTCTTATTTTTTATTTTTTTCATTTTTCTTTTTACTTTTACTTTTTAAAACTTTTTTTTTATTTTTAATATGCATATTTAAATAATTTTAGTCATATGTTATATTTATATTTATATTTTGTACCGTGTCACCTAGCTTAAAATTTTAGCTCGGTTCGTGATCATTATATAATTTACAAATAATGATAAAAAAAAAAAAACAAAACTGTAATACAATTTTGCCAGTAAGACGGTGTATACTCATATATAACGGTATCGAATCCATATCGTTGTGATTGCAACTGTAGTCGGCAACCTTCCCAATGGTTCGGGATTTGAAGAGCTTTAAAATTGGTAAAGTTGCCGTTTTGATCCTTATTTTAGGTAAAACCCCGGAACTCAAACTCAATTTAATTCCAATCTAATTTATGACAGCCCCACCCTCACGTGTACGTGGACGCAGAGACAACAAGAAAAACGCAATAGAACTGAAACTAAAAAAACAACAAATATATATATACACACACACACAGAGACAACAATAAAAAGCAATAAACTGAAACTAAAAAAACAAATATATATTTATACACTTTCTCTCTCTCTCTATATATATACGCACACACCAAAATAGATGAAACAATAGAAAACGAGAAACAGAAGACGCAACGCACGATAGATAGAGAGAGAGAGAGCGATATATAGAGAGAGAAAGAGAGACAGGACGAGAGAGAGACAGAGGACGAAAACGGTTTTCGATTTCATCAATCGGTTTCAGGTCAGTTTTCTCATTCGGTCTTTATCGATTCGTTCTTGGATTTTGTATCTTGATGATTCTTTCTCGTTACCAATGATGAATTATGTAGATCTCAATAGGTGCTTGCGAATCAATTTTTAGTTTTAGGGTTTTATCTGGATGGATCTGTTTTGATGATCTGGTTTTAGGTTATGTATGAGGAACTTTGAAAGATCTCATGGAAATTATTTTTGATTCTTAAAGTTTTGGGATGTGCATGATTAGCGAGCAATTGGTGATCTTGATCGATTCTTGTTTATATATATATATATATATATATATATACACACCCGACATGCCACATCTCATTTTTGCAAAATGAACCGGGTTTGATTTTTGTGGTTGGTGGTTGGTTTTTGCATACGTGTTGACGTAGAATTTTGGGTTGAACCTATGAGTTGTCTCTTGTTGTCAGCATGTAATTAGATTTTGTTGAAGATGGCATGTGAAGAAATTTGTTTTTTATAATTTTTTTTTATATTAGGGTTTTTATTGTGAAAATTGGGATTTTGTTCTGATGTGTTTGGCTGTTTAATTGGTACTCATTGTTTCTTGTGCAAATTGTTATTTGACCGTAGGTGTGTTTTGGTGTATAAATGGCCTCTAACGTTTTTAGTTGGTGCACATAGGTCAGTTTTTGAGGTTGCTGATGCGCACTCCGTGTAGTTCATGAATATTGTGGCAATGATGTGAGAACTTGCACTTGTGGTTTGCTGAAGAATCCTCTTTAGGAGATCATAATTTGAATCAACTTGAAGATTTTAATGAAATTTAAGATATGTGGCATTGGATCTTTTCCTCTTGAATTATTACCTACTCAAATTAATAAAGAAGGTAGTTACATCTGATTCTATTCATCATAGTAGTTATGTGGTTGAAAAATCAATCATAAAAGCCTCATTAGTTGCATCTTTCTTATTTATTTGGACATTAAAAATGGTAACTTTTGAAGGGCAAAATTGCCTTTTCAATATTTAAGTCTTTCTTGGGTCTTTTCTTCATTTATATATATAAACAACTAAAACCTGAATGGAATATTTTGTTTCTCCCTCAATTGTCGTGGGCTTTCACACGTGAATGGATTCTTTATATATATATATATAAACACACTAAAATGTAGGTTTTCATTATTTTAAGTTTTAGTTGATGTAAAATTATGAATTGAATTTTAATTGTAGTAAAATTGTGGAATTGAGTTATAGTTATTTTGTGAGAGAGAGATGGGGATGGCTTTGTAAAGAAAAATGGAGAGGTATGGTGGTGATGTGATCTAAGTGAAGAATAGAAGAAGCAAGTGATATATATATAGATAAACCATTAAAGATAATTGGGAAAAAAAAGAAAAGGAAAGAAATGAAATTTAGCTATTTGTATATTTATATAAATGCATTGAATTTATTGGAATAGTTAGCTTTATATACACACACACACACACGTATGGAAGAAAGAAATGTCCAAATAAATAGGAAAGATACAATTAAAAGAGTTACTGTCGTTGTAGCTACTCTTCCACTTTAAAAGGAAAGTTACGTAAGAAGTATCTGAAAACTACTTGAAAATCTGTCTTATGGCTTTATTGACATGAGAAAAAATGTTATTATTGACCTGAAATTAACTTGATTGATTAACTATGGACTTGCTGATTTAATTAATATAGTTTTTTTTTTTTTTGTTTAATTTTTTTGTTATTTTTTAATTTTGCTATGATTCTTATGAAGTTGTTGATTGCAACGTTATTATGTGTTCTTTTGACGGTCTTTGATATTATATATGTTAGGTGTCAATAGTCTACTGATATTTGTCTGTTGAATGTCGGTGCATGGTGGATATATAGGATGCTTTAGGTGATTTGATATCGGCTCATTTTGCCGTAACTTAGTTGTGAGAGATCACCTAGAATACCCAAAAAGTATATGAACATATTGACAAAATGTTTTAGTATCTGTGAATATCTACTTGGATTTTTTCTCTTTGTAGCTCCATGTTCTTCCTCAATGTTGCCCCCACGTTCGCCTTCTGCAGCATCAGTAATAGTTATTTCTAAGTTTTACTAAAATAATCAATTTACCATGATGAACCATCCATTTAAATTTCCTCCTGCATCCTTCTTGGTATATTACAGAGAGAAATTTTTATTTCTATTGTTTCTTTTTAGAGTTTCTACCAAAAGAAGGGAATTTACTTGTTGAACCATCATTGAGAAAGAATATCAACTAAGAGGAATAAAATCTAATAAAACTTTTAAAGCTGGACCATGAATTAAACAAAGAGTACCCATTTCAATGAGTTGAAATGTAGTATTTATCTAAGGTTTTCCACATGTTTGTAGCCATTGACATGGCTGTCCTGCAAGTTAGATCACTGTACTTGAAATAGTGGAGCATTAATATTATTTTCTTTCTATTATGGTATTGAATATAGGGTATGTTCTTTGGTAGTCTCAGTGTTGTAAAAGGCGCTCTTAGGCTCAAGGTGCAGGTCTAGCGCTTGTTGTCATCCCAGGCGCACTGATGTTTACTAGGTGCGCGCCTCGGTTGTACCTCATCCTGTTGTTATTTTTTAAAAAATGATTATTCTATATCTTAAGCCAAATAGGCTACTTTTGGCAACTTAATAAATAAATAAGAAAGCCAAAGCGTGCGAGAGAAGGAAATTTTGTTAAAAAGAATAAACAAATAAGAGCCTAAGAGTCAAAGTGTCAACCGAACTGAGAAAGAGTGAGACTATAAGACGAATGACGAAGCCCTAGTTGCAGAAACGAGTGACGAAGCCACGTCAGTTCTTTCATATTCTCTCCATTCTCCTCTAATAATCTCTTCTCATCTGTATTTACATCTCTCTCTTCGTCTAATTCTCTTACGTGTCTCTGTCTTCTGTTTTTTTGGCTCTGTTTTTTATCCTTCTCTTCTTTAACACTTTCTCTCTCTTCTCGTCTACTTATCGCTCTTCATCTACTTCTTTCTGTCTCTATATCTTTTTTTTGGCTCTTTTCTTTTCTTGTTAACTGTTATTTTTTTGTTAACATATTTATTTCTTTTTTTGCCTTTCAAGAAAACAAATTTGTGCTGTATTTTTTATGGTCGTTGAATGCTTGTATAGTTGATGGGTTTACTTTTTTATATTTGAGATTAATTTTTAGAATATTGATATGACTTATGAGATATGAATGTTTTTATGGTAGTTTAAATTCACTCAGGTGCACGCCTAGGCTCCAAAGGATCTCTAGCGCCTTGGTGCGCCTTGAGCTCTTAATAACACTTGGTAGTCTTATATATCATGCAAGTAAAAATTGGTATTCTAGTGAAATACATGGATCCGTAATTTAGTGTGCCGAGTCAAGAGAATAGTTGTTTTATATAAAATCTGGTTCTGTTTTTTCTTCTTTTTATTTTAAGTACATTATCTGAGGAAGTGCGAATCAAATTCTCTCTCAAATTATTGCAGGAATTTACAGCTTATTGAAATCTATAGATATGTCTCCAGCATCAAAATCTAAGTCTAAGTCCAAGGATAAATCCTCTGCAAAGGTGGCCAAGGAACAGCAAAAGGCTTCTTCCAAGGTTTCTGGATCTACATCCATGGGGAATGGCAGTCCAGCTAGTGCTTACAATCCAATTTCTGGTACATTCCACACCCTGGACACAGCACCAATGTCCTCTTCCCCACCCCTCCAAAGCAATGGTCGTTTCCGAAATATTGAAACAGACGAGCAGTCTGGTAGCTTGCATGTTACAGGGCCTGAGTATGATTCATTATCCAACAACGGAAGCACTTCTGGTGAGTCGGAAGACCACAAAGAGAAGACATCAAATGTTACTCCCAGGCAGGAAGCGATACCTGGATCCGATAATGACAAGCGAGAAAAGATTCGTCAGAAAAATGAGAGGAAACACCAACGTCAGAGGGAGAAGCGGGCACAGGAGTTGCATAAGCGTTGCAGTGACTACCTTATGTCAAGAAAATTGGAAGTACTTTCTCAGCAGCTTGTGTCAATGGGATTCTCATCTGAGCAGGCAACTTTGGCCCTTATATTGAATGAGGGCAAAGTAGAGGAATCAGTTTCCTGGCTTTTTGAGGGAAGTGAAGAAGCAGCTCAGAAAAAGGATCCTGGAAGTGGGGCTGACTTAAAAATTGATATAAGCGAAGAGCTTGCTCAGATTACAGCAATGGAGATGAGGTACAAATGCTCTAAACAGGAGGTTGAAAGAGCTGTTGTTTCTTGTGAGGGTGATCTCAAGAAGGCAGAAGAAATTCTGAAGGCTCAGAAAGCAGAACCACCGATAGTTCCACTGAAACTGGAGGAAACTGCCGACCCCAAGGACCCAGTTAGATCACAACAAAACCCTTTAGCTTCAGTTACAATACAGCAAAGGAGGAATGAAAGAGATCCAAACTATGCTAGGGGGGCTGCCACATTGTCAGAGTCTAGTAATGGAAACATGCAGTCTTTAAAGACAAATAAGCCGAAGTCACTTGCAGAGAAGAGGTGGCCAACAACCATATCAAGTTCTTCCGTTTCCTATTCTACGGCATTGCCTATACAGGTTGCACCTGCATCCGCAAAAACAGAGACGCAGCACATTGTTGGTGGACATGAAGGGAGAAATACCCAGCAGGGAGTACTGAGGGAGTCAGTGATCATGATGCAACGTCCACAGTCATTAAATATTAAGCAAAACCTAGGTTCAAGCGCCAGTTGTTCTCCTCCAGGGACATCTGGATTGTATGTGAACAATAATGTGGTTTCTGGGAGTATGAGATCAAATGGTAAGTTGCTACAAGAACAGCGCATCGTAAGCCTTGGCCCTGAAAATATGAGCTCAGAGCACTTCCACCGCCAGGTTCCGAGTATTGGAAACATGGGTCTGGAAAATTTGAGTTCACAGCAAATTTACCCCCAGAATCATTATACACAATGCCGATACATGTCTGGCTCAGTGGAACCTGAAGCAACTAGGCTGGGTGGTTCATGGAGCTCAGTGGGTGCATCTTCTCCTTCACTTACAGTTCCATCGTCTCTTGGACTATTTTCTGGTTGGGGTTCAACGGGGACTTTGGGGTCGTCTTCGCAGGTGGATTGGAGTGCAGGAGATTTGATGTCTCACTGTGATTACAATAGTATAGATTGGACTCTAGAATCAAACTCTGCGTATTCAAAGCAGAATGGTGGGTTGTTCTTAGGGCAGTCTAATGGGTTGATGCTGGGACTTTCTTCAATGAGGATAGCTGGTACAAATGGCATTTGCATTGCTGGGTTGCAGGATGGAGGAATGGCATCAGAAACCACTTCTTCCGCGGGACTGCGCGAGTGGACATCTCCTTTTGCAGGGAAGGACATCTTCAGTGTGCCCAGGCAGTTTGTTACTTCTCCCTCTCCTTAGTTCTAGGTAAGATTGAGGAACAGGGCAACAATAGACCATGTGTGGGAAAAGCTGGTGTTGGAATGGCAGTGTTGGTTGTTTCTGGTTTACTAATAAAAAATGCATCTACTAGTGCAATCTTTTGGGTTTTTCCTTTTCCTTGCATTCAAATTATATCGCAAATATAGCCTTGGTGAGGTCTCTAATTTCTTTTATGGTTCTTCACCATTACTTTGAACCATTCTAAGGAAGCAAAGTCCTTAATTCAGGGTTCTGCATTAGTGTCTTGTTTTGTGAGTAGGAAAAGTTCTTTTCTGACGGGGCAAGGGTTGGTTCAAACTAGGTCATATTGCCCTTTGAGTTGGAGTACACTGTACACTTCTCAAACACCCTTTACTCTGAGTTTAATTGGTATGAGAAATGAAAAAAGAATAAAGGGTTTGGTTCAGGCTTGAAACTTCATCATTTGCAGTCTGAGGCTGAAAAAAATCTTGGATTGCTTTCAGGTTATATCTGGACCCGGATCCTCTTAAGTTGAATTTGTATAGGCAATTTGTATAGGCTACTATAAGTTGAAAATGCTAGGAGAGAATGCAAAAAAAAAAATAAAGAAAGGATAGGAGAGAGACACGTGTCCCTTTTTGTTAGACTTATGGTTGTGGTTCAAACACAATTAAATACCAAGTATAATTATTCTGAATCAACTTTTGAAATTATTCTGAATCAACTTTTGAAAAGGCTGTTACAAATGAGATTTGTCCTATGTTGGTGCTAATTTTACTTAATAATTTAAATTTTCGAGTTGAATCGCGAAACTCTCGATTGTTACAAGTTAGTATTAGAGTCAGATCTAGTCTAAGTTAGTATTAAAGTCAGATTTAGTCTTTAATTTGGCGTCACGATAAGCTCTGGGTTCAGAGGAGTACGTGTGTGTCCTCTCGAATAGGCAGCGGATAGTATTTAATTCTTAATTTGGTGTTAGACCAAGTGCCTGATCTGGAGGAGTCGGGTGTATGCTTCCGAATAGGCAATGACGCCAAACAAAGTTCCCTGTATTCATGTTGTAAAATTCTATCTCTAAATTGTCTTTTTATTAAATAAAAAATCCATTTTCTGCAACGTATCCAACTTCTTATAACATGCCCTCAACACAATATGGTTTTTTCATATATATGAAGGAAGTTACTTTTTGTGATAGTTAGAAAAATGACTAATGTAATTAATTTAGAAAAAAAATGTGGTATTGTGAAATGGGAGGAAACTAATAAAGTAAATCTACTAATCAACTGAAGGATGTGTCTTGTCTGGTGAAAAAAAAATTTAAAGGATAAGAAAGTGACAATTTTGAAGGATGAACATAGTTGACATTTTGTTCAGCAAGAGAATGGAAAAAGGTATCTTCCATCATCAAGAGATTATGGTGAGAGATTCAATCGGGGAGGGTTATAATAAGAAAAAGAATATATATGTATCTTTTGAAAAACGATAAAAACCTAAAAAATAAAATATGAATTTGACATATACTATTTGTGCTAAAAACCCACCCTTCTGAAACAAAATGATTTTTTGGTAGTAAAAAACAAAAAATTTCCCACTTGTTTTAAAAAGTTATTTTTAGCCATGAATTTACCTTGTGCCAAATAAATGTGTGGCTAAATGCACAATATGCTGTCGTGATATAAGATTTGTGTTAGGCATTGTTTGGAAAGTGTCGGTGTTAATTAAATTTCCAAAAGAATTAAATTTATTTGAAATTCGGATACGTCTATAAAGTATTGACATTTGTACAGGGAATGGAATGTCCATGTTGGTGTTGTCCTGTAGGCATGTATGCAGCACAGATACGCCCTTAGTCAAGTTTTTATGATAATTTTTTTGGTGAATGATGTCTTGGTCCGTAGCTATATTCAGCTTAAAAAAATTAGGGACCCTCTGATTTAAGTCTTGATTGATGCAGAATATGAAGCTAAGAAGAATTTGGAGATTGTTCCGACAAAGGAAGAGATTTTTAGTTGCTCAAAAATTTAGGATTACATAGGCGAGGGACAGTGACAGGTGTACCAAGTTTATTTTTTATTTTTTTATTACAAAGTGGCCCAGCATGAAGCTGTGAATACTATTAGTATGTCGCAAGATGCTAATGGCAATATGGTGCTTGATCCTGATGTAATTCAGAATATGGTGGTGGACTCCTGCAAAGATTTTTTTTCAGCTCCTGCTGGTTCAACTTCCGATAGTATCTTGCTGCAGCCTAGGAAGAAGTTATCTATGACAGAAGCTCGAGCGCCTGGTCCTGATGGTTTTTCACCTAGATTCTTCCAACAGTATTGGCATACTATAGGCAAGGATTTGGTAGGCAGTTAAGCATTTTTTTCACGACCTTGATTCCAAAGAAGAATGGCTGTGTTAATGTGGTTGATTATAGGCCAATTTGCAATGTTTTGAGTGGGATTCTTTCTAAATTGGTGGGGAGTGAACATTCATCCTTCATTAAAGATGGGAGGATACAAGACAACATTGTTTTGGCATATGAGCTTGTTAAAAGACTTCTCCAATAGGAGATCTAATACCTTTTTTTTTTTTTTTTTTGTCTTAAATGTTGATCTAAGTTTATGACTCAGTTAAGTGGACCATTCTGAAGCAAAAATTGACCTCTTTGGGATTTAGTGATAAATGGATTGGGTGCAGAGATGGATCCAGTAAATTTGTGGGAGGGGGAAAAAAGTGAATGTAATGTATTTCTTTTTTGTAATTTTAGGGAGGGCAAAGTGAATATATATATATATATATTTACTACCATATACCACTAATTTTTCTTATGAAGTGGCTCCGTCCCTCATTGGGAGGGTGATGGAGTAATCTCCTCAACAAGGTTCTCAATTTTGATAAATGGTTCCCCCTGTGGATACTTCCAACCCTGAAAGACAAGGATGTCCTATGTCTCCTCGATCTTTTATTTTTTTACATTGGCCACATAGCCTTTCTCGAATCAAATGGACTTGTTGGTGAGAAATGGGGATGTGCTTCTATCAAAGGCAGGATTGGATATCGGCAGCATGTTTTTTTGTTGATGATCTTTTGGTGGTTCTAGGCTGACTATTCTTCTGTAGGAATTAGCTCGTGCTTTGCCTCAGTTTTCTGCCACTACCGGTTGAATTGGTTCAAAGCTAATTATTTTTGGACTAGTAAATAAGTGTTTTAAAAAATTTTAGGGGGACCAACTGAATTTTTTTGTAACGTTTTGTACAACTCTCACTCCTCGCTTGGATACTCTATGTGTTAATGGACAACGAGAGACGGGCGTGGTTATATATAGTCTAACTTCGATTGTGTCAGGAGTGACAATCTAACAATTGGATTGTATATTGGAGTCCGTGCAAGAGGGAAGGAAGTTTGGACTTAGATAGTGCCTAACATGCATCTCAACCTCAAAGGCCAATTTCTTTTTTTAAAAATATTTTTTATTTTAATTTAAATATATATATTTTTTGTCTTCTTCATTTTTCTGATTAAAATCATTCCTTTATTTCTTTCCAGTGTTTTATAAATTGTAATATTTATCAATTTTATATATTTTGGTGTTCATGTTGTAAAATTCTATCTCTAATCGTCATTTTATTAAATAAAAAATCTGTATGTATGGTTTTGTATAGTGTGAAATAAAATATACCATTCCCCCAATATAAAGACAGGATTTTTAGTGGGAAACTTGTCTGGCAATGTAAAACATGTAATGCACTTGGTATGAAGACAGGGTTTTTTACAAGTGGATTTAGTATGAACTATAAAGGAAGCGCCATCCTATTATTGCATGCCCTTTTCATATATAATGTAACTTACTAGTTTTGACAAAAATGGTTAATGCAATTAATTTAGAAAAAAAAAAATAGTGCAATTGTGATATGGCAGAAAACTAATAAGGAAAAGTTGCCTCCACAGCTAAAGGATCTCAAAGGAAAATATGAGTGTTGCATATGTGCATTTATTACCCGATTGGGTTAGATAGAAAGTAACTTATTACTGGGTTTTCATTATTGCTATTAAAAGAATGGACTAGATAGAAGTAAAAAAATAGTCTTCATTATTGTGATTAAATCAATAGTGAGTTAATCTGCTAAATACGTCTATAAGAAAGGAATTGTTTATTATTGTTATTAAATCAAGAATTATATAAGATTGATATCCGGTTGAGTTTTACTCTCACCTGTACTTGATTGTAGTTGATAATGTGGGTTATTTATTTTATATATATATATATAATAATAATAATTATTATAATAATAATAATTTTTAATACATGTCACAAACATAAAATTGAACGGCTAAATGCCTTCAGTTATTTAAGTTACGAATAAATAATTTTTTTTTGGTAACGCTTGACATAATAAAAATATCTGAATTATACTATACTTAAGTCATGTTTCAATTTAAAGTCTTCAAACTGGTGTGCAGGAAAAAAAATCTGAACTATAATGTTCTTTTATCTTCTATTATCAATTTCTTTGATTAGTCAAAAAAATTTGAATTCACTACCTCTTTGCAGTTACATCTTTTAATATACTGTTTGCTCAATTAATTACAAAATATAATACAAATTCCAAGTAGAGAGATTAGAGAAAACCATATTATGATTCATGTAAATGTTATTTCCCTATTTAAGCCACCTCATGACTCATGAAAATGCCATTTACTCACAAAACAAGGGTTTTGTGATTTCTATTAGAGAGAAAAATTTGTTATTTGAATCCACTAAGTTGAATTTGGTCATACTATCATTAGTTGAAAAATAATACTTAGATTTTCACAGATGAGGACCTACATCATGTCACAATCTTGTTATACATATCATGGTCAATAAAAAATAATAAGGAATAATGTCATCCAAAAATGAAATGGGCTCACCTGATTTCCATTTCTTTTTCTTTTTGATTTTAAAAAAAATGATGTGTTATAACAATTTAACAAGATTGTGCCACAAATATGGTGGGATGACGTTGATGTTTATCGGTGAGAACCTAAGTATTGAAATACCATCCTAGGTTAAAATATTTAGTATCCTTAAGAATAATGTAGAATAAGGTAAAGGAGAATCACCTTAGAGGATCCACTCTTGTTGACGTCTATAAAAGTTTTTTGAA